CTTGTTTTCCTCATGTGCCCTACAAAATATTTTACAAAACACTATTATTCCTCCTGAAAGTTGACTGGAGGTACAGTTAGAAGCCATCCAGGGCTATTCTCAAATGATGTTCAAGAATAATCCTATTTGTTTTCAGGCCTTCAATTAACCTGCTGTCCATCCAGCTGGGGGAGGAGGTTTCAGCCTCTATGTTTTAGGGGGCAAATGTGTCTCTGGATCACCTATGAAGGATTGCACATCCCATCCAACATGGAGCACAACCTGCCAGGCATTCCATAGATTGCTTACTGCTGATTTTTCTTTTTTGAGAGAATGAACAATTTTCTCTGTGCTCAAACACTGCAATGCAGAATTGGAAGGAATGTCCTGGGTTCAGTGTGCTGCTATCACAATGATCTCACCACATCGTATTTCTCCTCAGGGCATCACATTAAAAATCACAAGGAACATCTTTAAATGCTGAAACATTTCCTGAATATTAAATAATTTTTAATATAATTTAAATTGTTTCTAAAATCCCTATAAATATATTTTTCCTTTTTTAAAAGAATCAACCTGTTAATATCTGAGTGTTAAAGGCCAGGACTTCACAAGCAATTTAAGCTCTGGAATAACTTGAAAGACTCCTCTATTAAATATTGAAAATTCCTTCCAAAGTATAAAATTACAGATATTGTGAATTAGGGTGGTAGAAGTAATACCCTCTTTTCCAAATTATCCTATTTTCCTTGCTCAGATGATGCAATTTATTATGGAGTGAATAATTCATGAGTACTATGAGACCCTGGCCAACCCTGCACAAAATCAGCTGTGAACAACTCACTGGTTGAACTTTAGGCCCCTTTGCTGTGGTTACCTTCACTTCCCAGCACCCCTGGTTTATTGGCTGGCTTGTTCTACTCAAAACCCAAATCACCAAAATTTGCACAAGAACCTGCCTCCACACTGATCCAGCTAAATAAGAATATGTAACACCAGCTAAAGTCTGGGAATGTCACCCCATACTCTGAACTTTCAAAAGGAACTATAGATAATATTTCAAATATCTTGAAGGTACAAGAACCATTTTATCACTGGAAATTAGTGAGAAATAGATGTTCACTCAGAGCTTTTGTGCTTTCTACCCCTGTCCCCCCCGAAATTCCTTAATTTACAAAAAAATATTAAATACTTAAAAACATCCAACAAACCCTAATAATCCTCATACTCTGGTTTCAGGAATTCAGAGTTTCTTTTTAACTTCTTAGAAAATATCAGCTCAAAAAAACTGAATTCCCTGTACTTTAATCTTCCTTTTAGTCCAGAAGAAAGACCGGGAAAGGGCAAAAAGGTGTGGAAGATCTCAAGACATTAATCACAATGGCAGCAGCAGCCTGAGTTCTGCTCTGAGTCAAGAGAAATCTCACAGACACCTCGTATTCCTGACTCCTGACTGTGAGAAGCAAGCTAGATATTGATGGAGGAATGGAAGGCATGTGACTAAGGGAATACAGATTCATTTCAGACAGTGGTCTGAGACATGTGAGGGAGCTAATCCATTGCTGCCTCCTTTCCCTAATATTAATACTAATTCCTAAATTTATCAGTGACTTTGGGAGTCATTTTTCTCTTTTCCACATGCTAGACCTCAACAATAAAAAGCTGTAGCCATAGTAACCCTGATGCCATTATTAGGGAGAACAGTACATCCACTCAGAAAACAAAAAAGTGAGTTTAAAATGAAACATCAGCACTGAAATGGCAAGGACGGGGGAAAGGTATTTGTGGTGTGTTGTAAAAGCAAATACGTCCAAGGACCAATTCAGCATCGGTGTCAATAAAATGAGCAGCTTGTGACATTCCAGCCTTTTTATTTTTTGTCTGGTTTTTAGCAACTCAGGCAGTTATGACAAAGAGGCCAAATGGCCAAGAACGTCACCTGTGATATCCTATCCCCGCTGACGTCCATGGTCTGTCTCTGGGTGATTTTGTAGGATAGGATTTGTCCAGTTTACCTCTGGGGAGAGCTTCTGAGCAGGATCAAGTTGGCAGGACATAGGGCAGTGCAAACTTCCTGTACCTCCATCCTGAGTGTACCCTGGACGCAGGAGATGCAGCATTGCCACAGCTATGATCCTAAATCCTGCCAGATTAAACTTGTAAAATTACCTGGTAATAACAGAATGGGTGAAGACCACAGCAACACTTCTCTTCCTCCATGGGATCCCTTTGGAAAGCAGTATCTATGCATTTGGCATTTCAGTGAACTAACTGTGTTTTCTAACCTCATCACTGAGGTCTCACCAGCACTAAATTACAGAGTGACAGCAGCATTATTGGGTAAGTCCTCCTCTACCCACCTTCCACACCATCATGCCCTACAGAGGAGATGCAGAAGAGAGGCCCCAGATATGTGAGGAATTCCATTATCCACACAATTTTCCACAACAGCCCTAAACTCAGGTACTTCCTGTGGAAAGCTCCTGTTTGGCAGCAAGAGCAGCATCAGTGTCTGGGTGTTCCCACAGGAAAGGGAAGAGGGACAGAGGCACAGACACACTTTGCAGCTTCTCCAGTGGCACCCATGACCCGACACGAGCGGCTTTGGGAGATCATCCGTGCCCCAAAGAGCCACATCTGAACCCCATTTGCCAGTACCCTGTACAGATGGAGCTGCCATTCAAATTCAGCATGGCTCTTTAACCAGCAACCCCAAAATCAAACAGCAAAGCTCAGGGACACCTGCAGTGATGCCCAGCATGGCACTGGCTTGTCCCTGCCGTTATTTTAGAGTTTCTGAGAATGTATCCTGATTTCTTTCACAGCGTTTCTTTTGCATATTCCCTGCTGGAGCAAATGATAGCACTATAAATGCCTCAAAAAGCGTTTAATTTAGATTTAATAGGGCAGTAAAAAAATCTATGGGTTCTAAAAGAACACTTAGATCGGTTTAATGAGTACATGGGATAAATCTGGGCAAGAAATATTCCATCAAGACAACACAGTGCCAGGTTTGGAGTTCATTACCTGGGAGATAGATTTGCTTACTTTACATTTGTAATTACATTTGCAATAAAAGTTGCAACCCAACTGAAGCTCAAACCCCTGTTTTTTGATGTGAATTAGCAAATGGAAATGCAGAAAACCCAGGAGCACTTCATCAGCTTGTAGTCATTGTGGACACTTAGTGAAAATCAGCCCCTGGAGCTCCTGCACTTGGCACAGCCGGGATGCTCTCGCTCACCAGAGTCATTTCCAGGAGCTGCCCCGCTGAGGACGAGCTTTAATCAGCAACCCAACCATGCAAAACCTACCCTGGCTCTGTCTCCCTCTCCACCTCCCTTTTCTTTTTGTTTTTTATAGCAATCCTCCTTTTTAACCCATCTGCAGTAACCACAGCTCTGGATCAACTCCTGGCTTTTATTCTCCTTGAAGATGTTTTCGATCCCCATTTTTTGATCCTGCAGCTGCCCTGTGTGCAGGGGTGCAGCCAAACCTCCTCTCTCCTTTGCAACAGAGCTGAGCAAACAAGGGCAGTGACAAAAAATATTCTAAAAATGCCCACAGCCTCAATCCCTCCAGGAAAGAGAATGGATGGAGCAGCACAGAAAGATGGGAGCAGTGTCAGACAAGCCTTGCCTTCTCTCAAGTGAGGCAGCCATGGGCCCTCTCTCTCAAGACTGCACTTGAAAATTCTTGTTTTAAACTGTGCTTGCTGACACAGCTAATAAATGCATTAAGGGCCTTATTAGGGGAGATGGATTCTGAAATGTGTACCTTTGCCATGTGGTTACTTTGCCTATGAAGTTCAATTAGCAGTACCTACTTCAGAGAAACCATGGAAGGTGCATTTATAATTAATTTATGTCCTGCATTTTAAGGTACTCAGAGGAAAGGCATCCTAGGGGCACAGTATTACTATTAGCATGTTTCTGCGCTGGCTTGTAAATATCTGTCCTACTTCTCTTTATTTTTCCTTCATTTTCAATGAAATTACCATATTTTGGAAAAAACAAATGCTAATTGTATGAAACCTTTGGAAAGAAAATTCTCAAATAAGCTTGGAAATTAGATTTTCTTTCATAATTGAGCATGTTTATTTCAGGCAATAGTACATGTAAGCCAGAAGAAAATGGGAATATAAAAATATATAGGATGTCTGCCACATAATAGTTCCTTGCAAGAAAAGGAACAATAAATATTTAATAGAAATGCAAATATAAAGCCATCTGAGGAGCAACTTTTGCCATAATTTCACAGAGGAGACCAAGTGGAGCTGGGTTAACACCCTAAACCTCCTTCAGGAAGCTGGGCCTTCAGCAATTCATCCCCCTCACCTAGAAAGGACTGAAATGAATTATTTATGTTTTGGAAATCTTTGGCAGCCTGCATTCATCAGTCCAGCACAGGAGATGCAGTTACTGCCTGTTGCTCCAGCCTGACAAGCTCTCCTCATGTGGGAAATCTAACAGAACAGCTCCAGGAATTCTCCCCTTGGCCATCTGGGTGCTGGCAGGTGGTGGCACCAGCTGGGACAGAAAATTGGGTTGTTGTCTCAGACTCTGGCTGAGTCTGAGCTCTGGAGGAGCTGTGTCCAACAGCGGGTGAAAGGACCTCAAGACTATTGGACGTTGTTTTCTTATCTCTTGGATGTCTTTTGATACATGTGATCCAAATGAATGGGTTCTCTAATAATTAAGATACTCCAACCTACTTAACTGATCCTATCACTGAGCACCTAACAGGAAGCATAAATCATTTTTCTCCCTGCTTTCTTAGTAAAACAAAACCTCTTTTTTTTTTTTATTTAGATCTATAGAGAATCTTCAGTTAGAGAAATCTGCACAGAGCACCAATTAGCATTTGTTCTGGGATGCCCCATCTTCCTGTGCTGCAGCAGCACCCTTCTTTTAGAAATGAAGATTAATGGAGTGTAATTTGGTAGGCAAAGCCAGAGCCATCAGCCTGTGGTCATTTGCTCAGAATGCAGGATTAAACTAGAAAAAATGACTTAAACACACCTGGCTGGGAGCACTGGATTGTCAGGGCTCCAACTGCTTGGCTGAACCACTGCTGTGAGGAGCGAAGGTGGGCAGGGCTCATCCTCATCCACAAAGTTACTACAGGGTGAACTCAGCAGGTTTCTGTTTTCTCCTGGAAAAAAAGAAATAGAATCAGAGATGGAGTTAAAACTCAAACATTTGTGGCACCGTATCTCTGCAAAAGCACTGCACCTCAGAGTAGGTGCTGAAGTCCAACACATTTGTATTTGTTAAACATCTACCCAAACTCCTTCAATATTTGAAATAAGGTAGCCATGAGCATAAGAAATTTGTATTTGGACCTGATGTTGCTTTATCTACTTGTCCTCAGTTCTTCCATATGCCATGGAGAGAGGAAATGCCCAAACTTGTAACTGGGGTGATCTCACCAGACAGAGGTGCTTGAGAGTGACACTGCCAAACTCAAACTGGTGTCACCTTGTGACATTTCACAGCAGGCACAGAACTTAGCCCAGTTTCCACCATGGACAGAGGGGCTTTTGTAGTACCTGTTTTCTTTTTCTCTGAAAAGTAAAACAACTAACAAAAGTATTTTTTGTATCTGGCCTCAAAAAGAAAAGGTGACTTCTCCCACCATCAGCTCTGCAAACTCACTCTGACACCCAAGAGCAAAGCTGGGATATTCTGGCTCTTGTATCTCTGACAGCAACAAAACCACAACTTCTTAAACTCTGCTGGAGAGCCACAGAAATCAGAGACTGGTGCCATTGGACATCCTCTGCCAGGAGAATGTGCCTGGCCACCTGCAGAGGGAGCAGGGCTTTTGCAAGGAGGATTTCAGGCTCTGTGAAACCAGCTGGACAGAGCCTTGAGCAAGCTGGTTTAGTGGGAGGTATCTCTGCCCATGGCAGGGGCAGTTGGGACTGGATGATCTTTAAGGGCAGTTCCAACTCTTTCACACTCTGTGATTTCTGGTTCCGTCTCTTGTGCTCTGTTTGAGCCCTGCCCCACAGGAAGCTCCTCATGGTCATTCCTGGGGAATTCACTCTGTTTTCCTCATGTTCAGGACTCACTGAAGGGTTTAATGCACTCAACTTTGCCTCCTTCACTTTACTGTATTTTAAAGAATCCTGGTTCAGTTTTGCTCCTGAGCTGTCTTGTGGTGCAGGACCACAGCATGGCCCCATTTCCCTGTGTCCATATGATTTTCCCTTTGAACACATTCCTGGTGGAAGCCAGGCTAGGAATTCCCATCTGTTTTCAAAGGCTCTAAATAGCAGCAAAGGACCAATCCCTCTACATTAGGGACAAAACACGTGAGACCTTCTGTAGCTTGTGAGATTCTTCTTTGCCTGACACTGAAAGAGCTGGTGAAATTCAGGATACAAGGCAAAAATGACATCCTGCCACTATTCTCCTTCTCTGTTCTACCTGTGTAGAGCAGCCCCAGGGAATGTCTCCACTCTCTTTAAAAGCTGGAAGAAAGCTGAGGCACCAGCCACGAATTTCTGCAGTGCAAAGGTACTTCAAGCCCCCTCTCCTCCTTCCTGCCCATGCCATATCCTGGACACAGTGGTGGGACAGCAGCAAATAGAGCAATGCCAGGCATTCCTGCCAGCAGCAGTGCCTTTCTACCTCTGGAACAGTGCAGAGAAAAAACAGTGCCACCAGAGTTACATCTGCATTCAGCTTCCCCTGTTAACACCCTGCTTAGATAGCACAGCTGTGCATCTTAATGGTCTCTCACCAATGGGCTCTATTTGGATATTTTTCTTGTTCACTGCTCAATAAATACTAATATTTATCTTCATGGTCTTAAATTCAAATATCCTATCCAAGATGCATACCTGTAAATAGTTTCCCTGTAGGCCAACTCCTCGTTTGAGAAGGATTTGGTAACAAGAGGAATGGACTGGATGATTCCCAGCCAATTATTTATTCAGAGAAACTTCTCCTGCTTGTGAGCAGACTGCAAAGTCCTCAGCTCTGTTTCTCACTCAGAATTATTCATGGCTTTTCTCAGTGACAGAGAGTTGGTCTGCAAAAATGTGCATTTCAGAATTTTTCACCCGAAGAAAGCTAAGTCTCTCAGGGATCTGGGAACGTGACAATCCATACAAGAAATACAATACTGTGCTGCACTTTGGACACTGACAATGTAACACTAACCTGGAAAAAGAGCTAAGGATGCTCAGATTCTAGGAATTTCTTTATTTTTTAGTCTATACCTGGACATCTTTGTCCTGTATTTCTGTAAGGGGAATGCCAGCAGGATTGTTCCAAGAGCCAGAGTTTTTAGATGTCAATAGTCCATCCCAGTACCCCGAACAGCAGATATCCAACACATTTTTTGCTCTGGAGGGTGATGAACTATCAAGAAGAAAACTGAATTTCTTCTCCAAGAGAACACCTGACCCATGACCTGTTGCTTGTTTCAGACATATCATTACCCATAAACATGCATGATATTGCTCTTTTCCTTAAAAAAGTACTGCAAGATCCCTATCCCACTGAAGTCAAATGGAAATCTGCTGTATGGTCCCTCCAGGTAATGATATTTTTCTTACCTTAAAAGTGGACCATAAGCACTATCATCTTCGATATGGTACCTCTTAAACAAATTTATCCTGCGTATTTTTATTTCTCAGCAATAAACATTTGGAGTTTGTCTTTATAAACTGCTATTTTATCAAGCTGTATATTTACACAGACATAATTTGCCAGTCCCTTTGTTCACTGACAGCATCCAATTATCCTCTGAACTCTTTCACAGAGCACTTAATTTCTCACTTTGGCGATTCCTACTGTATTTCAGTGAACCTTTGTGCCGAGCTCTCTACGATCTGCTAATAGCTCTGGCCTTTAAGAGCTGCAGACCCACTGACAATTCCCAGCACCTGTGTCCATTCCCTGTGACACCAGGGCTTTCCTGCCCAGCTGGGCACTTGTCTTCCTCACCTGGCTTCTGCTGTATCCCCACCCTGCCTAACCCAAGAATTTTTCTTGCTCTCTAACTATTATTCTGCCCCTCACTTTAGATTTGATTCAGTCGTGTTTACTGGTGCCTTGTGCCCTCTGCAAACCTTCGCATTTTCCTTCCTACAAAAGCTGGGCTACAGTAACACATTCCCTGTAACCATGTGTTACCGTTCAGTCTATTTTTACTTTGCAGGAATGCTAGCACTGACTTCAGCACCAGGGGAGGAGGGAGAGAGAGGATGATTTTTGCAATTACTGATGCCCAGCTCTGCTCCTCCTCAGGAATTGACCAGCTGCTGCAGCAGCAGGACAACGCTCAACATTTGGGAAAATCTCCCTGGATTTTCTTCACTATCCTTACAAGTACCAGCATCGTAGCAGCATGGATTTTACCCTCATAAATTACTCAATTGGCCTTAAGCCCTCCTTCATGCCAACACGGCATCACAAATTACAGGAGACAAGTATAACCGTGTACAGATTGATTTCCAAACAACTTCATTGTGTAAACCTTGAGAAAACAGGAAGTATTTCACATAATGATTAATATTTTGAGGGGGGAAAAAAATCCCAACCCCCTAAAAAAAATCAACAGAAAGCCCCAATCAACTACTGGATTAGGACAGGGAAAATTTCATTTCTGTGAGGCCCCAATATGTTGTAAAGTTGTCCTTAATAAATGGCTTTAGCTTTAAGAATGAATCCACTTTTTAAAATACTCCTCGAGTGTTTTGAGCCCGTTTTGGACACGCCTCTCTCAGCCCTCCCCAAAGAGCACCTGTTTCACTCTGGTTGGGATGATGTAAGGCAAGATCCACATGTTAAATGCGAGGGTGTCCTCTAGTGGTGGCAGAACTGGATTTTTCCCATTGGGCACAGGCAATCCACGAGGAAAAGATCCAGGAGGGCTGATCCCTGTACATTCGGTGCCACCCCAAACACAGGCATTTGCTCTTCATGCAACGTTTTTGCTTTCTTCTTGCACCTTTTAATTTCTTTTCTTTCCTACTTGCTCCATAGCCTCCTGTGGGATTCTTTTCACTCCGTAACATCCATCCAGAAATAGCAGCTACAACTTTCCCTAAAGACAGTGGTGGGTTTAGGAGTTGGTGACGTCATTCAAAAAACATCAAAAGTCTAAGTGGAATAATTTCATATTGAAATCTGATGTTACTTTTACCAGAAACCTGCACTTTAATTTTCACCAGTGCAGAACAAGTAATTAATTCATAGTGCTCAGTACCAAACTGCAGACCCTGCAGCTTTCTGCCCTCTCCTCCAATTCAGCTACAGGTCAGCAGTGCAACACTGGGGGCTCAGAACACACAGAAAATACCACTCTCAATCTCCTGCACAGCATTTTTTAGAATGCCTGAGCCCTCACAAAACTAATTCCACACGACAGGTGGCACTAGGTTGTTCCACTCATTAATTTTTGTTGATAATTAGATTATTATTTTTAATATAATTAATTAAGCCTCGGTGGCATGGGTTTGGTCCTGTTCTCAAATGATTTATCTTGTGAAAAACTTGCAGCCGTTCTCTGGAACATTCATAGCCCTGTTTGTGTGTCTGTGCAGGAATATAAAAGGACTGTCAGCTGCTCTTTTGTGCTCTGCCATCCTGTGGATTTGTTGGCACTTAATCAAAAGGAAAAGATTTCTTGCTATATGTTGCTACAAAATAGCAAGAGGTGATACACAGTAATTACTGACAAGAGACTGAGGCAGAGGAAAAGGAAGGAGAAATCCATCTCTGTTCTTTGCCCTGTTCTGCTTTTTCCTTCCGGGGAGAGAGTTAAAGGAAATTTTGATGTGATTTCTTTGGGGCAATAAAAACCAGAAATCCTGCACACAAATCAAGATGCAAATGTGCTCGTCAGTGTTGCTGTGGTGCCAGGGGAGGAAAGGAAAGCACTGGAGCTCCTGGGAGAACAAGGCCATCCCCAAGGGCACCCTGGCAGGTGATGCCAGAGCTCTCCCCTTCAGGGCACCCACACACCCTCAAGCAAACACATCAAACCACAGCACCTGGAAATTTTTGTTTTGTGAACGTGCTCTGAAAACATCCTGGGAACCACGAGAGTTTGGGAAATTTTCTATCCCGCCAGTTCTTTCCCTGCAGTATAATGCTCTTGCTGCCAATCCACAGACTACAGAAAACACATTTGTT